AAAACTTGCATGTGGTGATCTTCCCATGTATCTGCTCCCCTTGTCTTTCCATGTGGAAGTGGCCATGGGTCGGAAGGTGTTGTTGAAGGATTTTGTCAAATTTCTGTTGTGTATTTTGGAAATAGTACACACTACTTGCTGAGCATCGGTAGTGGACATAATGGATGTGGTACCAATCAAGCAGTCTGCTTTGTCCTGGGTGGTGTTAAGCTTCTTGAGTGCTGTTGGAGCTGCACCCATCCAGGCAAGTGGGAAATATTCTGTCCCATTTCTGACTTGCAGACAGTGGACAGGCTTTGGGGATTCAGGAGGAGAATTACTTGCTGGAGTATTCCTAGCCTTTGACTTGCTCTTCTAGCCACTGTGTGTATGCGACGAGTCCAGTTCAGTTTCTGGTCTTTGGTAACCCCAAGGATGTTGATAGCACAGGATTCAGTGATGGTAACATTTTCAAATGTCAAAAGACAGTGGTTAGATTGTTTCTTATTAGAGATGGTCATTGCCTGGAATTTGTGTGGCACAAATGTTATCTGCCATGTGTCAGCCCAAGCCTTGATATTGGCCAGACCTTGTTGCATTTGAACATGGACTGCTTCAGTATCTGACAACTTGCAAATGGCACTGAATGCTGTGCATTCATTGGTGAACATCCCCTCTTCTGACCATATGAAGGAGGGAAGGTCATTGGTGAAGCAGCTGAAGATGGTTGGACCTAAGACACTATCCCAAAGAACTCCTGCAGAGATGTCCTGGAGCTGAGATGACTGACCTCCAACAGCTACAACTATCTCCCTATCTGTCAGGTATGATTCCACCAGCAGAGAATTTTCCTCTGCTACCCATTGATTCCAGTTTTGCTTAGGCTCCTTGATGCCACACTCGGTCATATGCAGTTTTGAAGTCACCTCACCTCTGGAAGTCAGCTCTTTTGTCCATGTTTGAATCAAGGTTGTAATGAGGTCAGGAGCTGAGTGGTTCTGGCAGAACCTAAACTGGGCGTCACTGAACAGGTTATTGCTGAGCAGGTGCTGCTTGATAGCACTGTTGAAGACAGCTTCCCTCACTTTACTGATGATCCAGAGTAGACCAGTAACTTGCTAGATTGATTTGTACTGCTTTTAGTGTACAGGACATACCTTGGCAATTTTCCACATTGCTGGGTAAATGCCAGTTTTGTAACTGTACTGGAAGAGCTTGGCCAGGGCAATGACATATTCTGGAACACAAGTCTTCAGTATTATTGCTAGAATGTTGTCAGGATCTATAGGCTTTTGTAGTGTCCACTGCTCCAAACATTTCTTGATATCACATGGAGTGAATCATATTGGCTGAAAACTGGTATCTATAATGCTGGGGACCACTGAAGGAGGCCAAGATTGATCAAGCACTTGGCACTTCTGGCTGAAGATTGCTACAAAAGCTTCAGCCTCATCTTTTGCACTGATGTGTTGGACTCTTCCATCATTGAGGATGGGGATATTTGTGGAGTTCCTCCTCCAGTGAGTTGTTTAATTGTCCACCACCATGCACAACTATAGGTGGTAGGACTGCAGAGTTTAGATCTGATCTGTTAGTTGTGGGATGTATAGCTCTGTCTATCACTTGCTGCTTATGCTGTTTGACATGCAAATAGTCCTATTTGGTAGCATTACTAGGTTAATACCTCATTTTTTGTATGCTTGGTGCTGTCCCTGGTATGCCCTCCTGCACTCTTCATTGAACCAGTGTTGATCCCCTGGCTTGAGGGAAATGGTTGAATGAGGATGTGCCTGGCCATGAGGTTGCAGATTGTTGTTGTTCAATTCTGTTGTTGTTGATGGCCCCCACAGCGCCTCATGGATCTCCAGTCTTGAATTGCCAGATCTGTTCAAAGTCTATCACATTTAGCATGGTGATAGTGCCACACAACATGATGAACAATATTCTCAATGTGAAGACAGTATTTCATCTCCACAAAGTCTGTGCGATGGTCACTCTTATCAACACTGATATGACAGATGCATCTGCAGCTGGCAGTTTGGTAAGGATGAGGTTAAGTATGTTTTTCCCTCTAGTTGGTTTCCTGACCACCTGCCGCAGACCCAGACTATCAGTTATGTCCTTTAGGGCCTGGTCAGCTAATTCATCAGTGGCGGGAGATCGGTATAGCTAACAAGCAGGGTGTTTCCTTGCCCACGTTTAACCTGAAGCCATGAGACTTCATGGGTCTGGATTCCATGTTGATGACTCCCAGGGCAACTCCCTCCCAACTATATACTATTGTTCCGCCACCTCTGCCAGGTCTGTCCTGCCAATGGGACAGATCATACCCAGGGATGGTGATGGTGGTGTCTTGGACATTGTCTGTACAGTATGATTCCTTGACGATGATTATGTCAGACTATTGTATGACTAACCTCTCAGACAGCTCTCTTAATTTTGGCACCAGCTGCCAAACGTTCATAATGAGGACCTTGCAGCATAAAGAGAGCTGTTTCTGTTGTTGTCTTTTCCGTGCCTAGGCAGATACCATGTTGTCCATCTGGTATCATTTCTTTGTTGAGACTTTGTAGTGATTGATACAACCAAGTGGCTTTCTAGGCCACTTCAAAGGGCAGTTGAGAGTCAACTACACTGCTGTGAGTATGGAGTTACACGTATGCCAGACCAGATGAGGATGGCAGGTTTCCTTCCCTGAAGGAAATTAGTGAGCCAGATGTTTTTTTTTCCAATAATCAATACTGGTTTCATAGGTGTCAGTGAATTTTTTAATTGAAAATTTTTTTATTGAATTCAAATTCTACTATCTTTTGAACCCAGGTCCCCAGAAAGTTAACTTTTTCTGGATTAACAGTCTAGTGATAATGCCACTCGTCATTGCCTCCTCATGGGGTGTTGCAAATCACCTTTGACCAACCTCTGACTTCTCAGCACTCTGCTTTAATAGCAAATGGGAAATGAAATGATTGCAAATTAAATGTAGCTGAGTTTTGCAAATGCTGCTTCATGTATTTGTCCTGCAGTGCAGTGTCCTAGAGTCCAGCAAATATACATCCCATGATTGAGTCCATCAACCTACCACTGACTCTGCCCACCTTGGGTGCATTTCCAGCTATAATCTAGTTGAACTTCACATTTCGAGTATGGCGAGTGATGGCAAGGACTGTAGCTTGCAGTGGATACCACTGAGCTCTGCCTGGTCACCAGGTATTCCCCAAAGTCTCATGCCCCATTTCATGTCACTCTACCCCAATAGCCCAATTCTGCTCATCTCCCTGTCACGTGGCGACCCATTGTACTTCACCTACTATTGTCCTGTCTGCCCCCTGAACACTGGCATTTTAACTTAATGATGCCTACCCTACTCCTCCAGTGGAGGTCATGGTGGTGGTCATTGCTACCAACCCACCACCCATAGCCTACTGTGTCCTCAGAATGCTGTCCTGTATGTTTCCAATTCAACTAGAGACTCCCTCTATCACTTTCCTTGTTCCCATCTCTGCAAATACTTCTGTTCCCCAACCCCAGCCTTTACTTCCCTGCACTTTCTGGCAGCCATCTCCCTGTTGACCCTACATGAACTCCTTTCACCCTCAATATCAGTATAGCCTCACGACTATATTTGTTCGAGATCTCCGACTGACATGGATGATCAGCCCCTACACATCACTGACCAGTGTATCCCACTGCTGTGCTTGAACCTCCCTGACTGATGATTCCCCTGATTGCCAGTGCTGGGCCTGACTAACAGCTGAACATTCTCCAGACTGTACTGGGGTAGATCCCTTGGCCATGAGTGTCCAAATGGGCAACCAACATGAAGAAGCCCCTGGATGTTGTGCAAACTGTGTCCATGCCTGATAGCAACGGGGACCCCCTGACAAACAATGGCCCCCTCCTCCCCTCCCCCGAATGAACTGCGGACTACATTCCCTCCTCGCAGTTTCCGACATGGAGACTTGGTTGAAAAAACTTGCAGAGTCTTTTCTACGCACGCAGCTCACACATGCAATAAGTGTAAGAGTAATATCTTGTCATGATATAGAGCAAGATGTTCACTGCCCTTCCCACAGACAGATCCCTACAGATAAGAAGCCTGAGTGTGCAAAACAGTACCCTGGCTGAAGTGCCCATGCACTAGCAGGCAAGGTACTGTAAAGTATGGATGCTGGTAAGTAAGAATGTTGAATATTAATGAGGTGAGTTGTGTCATCTAACAAACAATAATCTTTCTTAACTGGCTTAGTGAGAAACTTGCTTCATCATTTGTCAAAAATAGATAAAAATTGTGAAAACACCCAACGTTGAGATGGGCTTCGTCAGACTTCTTATCCAACTCTGTCTGAAACCTCATCATAGTCTGTGCAGAGATAGTAGGAACTACAGATGCTGGAGAATCCGAGACAACAAGGTGCAGAGCTGGATGAACACAGCAGGCCAAGCAGCATCATAGGAGCAGACATTTCGGGCCTAGACCCTTCATCAGAAGGGTCTGTGCAGCTCAGTTCTCCATAAGAGTCTGCCCCAGATTTCAGACCAGCATCCTGATACCACAGGAACAAGTTATTGGAGAGGAATAGCTGAGTGTCCCTAGCAAGCCCGCAAGAGCTGTCCTTATGTCTATGAATAATGAAAACATACAGATTAGGAAGATGATTGAATCCCTTGGAAATTTAGTGTGCATAGTAAAAGGGCACTTTGAAAATGCATTAGTGAAATTATTTCCTTCCTTATCTATGCAAAGTTCCTGCCGCAAATTTCTCTTTTTCATCTGTTGAGCACTAGTTACCAAAGCTCCCCAATCGTAAATAATCTCTCCCTGCCCCAATTACCTGGAACTGGTCGCCAAACTCTCCACATCTGCAAAGAACTATATGCTACAATTGTCGGCTCTTGCTGTTGCTGTCACAGCCCCACCTAGTCTTCTCTTTCCCTTCCCTTCTCTAAGTGCTATATGTCAGAATTCTTCCTTTAACATACAGAGCTACAGCAGTTACAGCCCTTTCCTACTACTCAGAGCTGCCTGCGTATCATAGCCCTTCTCTTCCACTCAGAACCACCTAACATATTTCTCTGTTTCCTCTTCCCCTTCAGCCCAGAGCTGAGCTACTTACATCAATTTTTTTTTGTAGAATACCTTCTTGTTTAAATACAACTGTTTCAATTACTGGTAAAACGAGCAAAATTCAATCAAAATGCTTTATCATCGAAAATGTGCCCTATATTTTGATGTAATTTTTCTTCTAGATATTTCAGGTAAGGATATTTGATTTTAGTACATTCTTAACTTTATGTATTCAGTTATATGGGAATATTCTTAACTTTTGCAAAGTATAAGCAGATGGTACTGTTCAGTTGACCATTATACCAGCAGTCGATTTTCCTTTATATTGTAACCTAATGGACTGCCACTCTGACAGCCATGGCTAAAAGCACTCATCAAAATATTAAATTATTCTTTATATATTATGTTTAATCAATCCTGTTCTCATATGTCATGTCACACCTCCAGCATAGATGGGACTTGAATCCAGACCTTCTAGCCCAGAACCAGGGAAAATTCTTCCTAATACATTTAACTTGTAAATAAAATCTGGAAATTAGTGTTAATTTAATGAATTGTAAATTAGGTGTGCTGATTTTCTATTGTATTTGCTGCTGCTGCAAATATTGATTACATTTAGTCAAACATTTAACTTTGTATCTTTTGATGTTATTGAATACTTTGTGGTATATTACATGTTGTGAGTGCACGTTCAAAAGCTAAAACAGCCAATCTTCACAACGATGTGCATGGGCAAATGATACAGTTAATTATATCTTTCTAATATAAATTCTTTCACATTCAATATTTCATTCAAAATTTTAGATTCTTTACTTCTAAGAGATTATTACAATTGCAATTTTTACTTTTGGACCTGAATATCACTGATTCCTGATGAAAATATCACTGATACAACAGTTTTGCCAACTCGTACTGCTTGGAACCAAATCAATGCACTGTGGCAAGTCTAATGATATAATATCTGATCTAATGTAAGCAGATTTAACACGATCCTAGTTACTATTAATAATTCATCCTAAAAGGATGAAACTGTTATGGCACCTGGTAATTTTCTCAATCAGTTGCAGGTAACCACTTAAGCTAACATCCTTAGTCCTGGCTGGACAAGCAGTGTGAACTTGCCAGTGCTTTGTGCTCTCAGACTCTGAGATTTGGCTGGTTAAACTTGAACAGTAATTAATTCTGTGCACATGGTAGTTCTCTATGCCTTGCATCTGTCATTCTCTACCACAGCCCCTTGGACAGGTTATGTTCCAATAGGTCTGCACTCATCTAACGCTAACTGATATTCTTGAGTATTTTGGATCAGACTGTCAAACTTGATGATGGGTTTACTTGCATGTCAGAGACCTAGTTGACCGAAAACAAATGAATACTTCTAAACAGTTTTATCCTTCAATCTACAGGTTTGTGTCTTGCAGAAAACAAGGGTAAACCAATAGATGTTTATGGAGAAATTGGGAAGTCTGTATTTTTACATGTTAATTATCAAAGCTCTAAAAATGACGAAATTAAATGGATGAAAAGAAATACAATAATTGCACGATACAAAGATCAAACTTCTAAATCCTATGCGACTCATAAAGATGGATTAAAAGTTTATGCAAATGGGACTTTGACATTTAAAATCATGGATAGCACAGAAGAAGGAACATATGAATATGAAATATACAATGCAGATGGAGTGCTGTCAGATCGTAACTGCACTAAACTGCATTTACTTGGTGAGTGTGCTTCTTTTAAACCATTTTTTCATTAGAATGTAGCCTAAAGTTTTGAGTCAAATTTATTGGGTAAAGATATGGAATTCTAAATCCTTTGAATAAAGAATCTACTTCAGATAGTTAAAGTATTGTAAATTTCAGGAAATATTCTCTGAGTCATGATTAAAATTTAGCAGTACTCTATAGGAGCTACAAATTCCTCTGAATCATGAAATATCACCTGTAACATGAGCTTGTCTACGTGTTCTTGCACATAGAGTGCATGTTGTTAATTTTTTGCACTTTGTGTAAAGTTGCACACTGTGGGCAGGAAGTGTGCAAGATAACTGCATTGGCACCATCTGAACATCGCCTGAATTAGTGGAATTGCAAATTGATGTGATATGTAAATTTCACTGCCATTGTAATGCGAATGCAATTTAAACGCAATTTTAACATAGGGTGCAAGTCTCCTACTGGTCTGGCATTGTCACAAATTGTTGCAATTCTGCTGTAAGCACGGTTCTGGTAAGGGTTTGGAACTTTGCACTCGCCACATAGTGTGTTTGGCTGATATTTCCTGTAAAGGACTGTGAGTCGATGCTTAATAGTAATAGGAAATGAACTTTATTGATTATAACACAATTAATACTATAATAACGATTATGCTACAAACTAACAATTAACACTAAAATTCTGACAATTAACACTGTAAATCTAAGTCAGTATCTTGTACTTTAACTTAACTTGGAATGATCAAACATCACCACACTAGACCTTGACCTTGATCCAAGTGGTGATGTTCGTCTTGGTCTTCCACTCTCGGTGGTCCCAGAGGTGGTTCTTACAGTGGTTTCTCGAGTTACAATTCCCAAGGGTGCTGTTGCAGCGATTCTTATCCTTGGTAGCTTCCACACCCCTTTGGGAGGATCTTCGATTTCCACCAATGGATCTATCAGGAATCGATCCCCCTGATTGACTGGACCCAATCTGGCAGATGGTGGGGTGGTCTTTGGTTCTCCTTTTCTGAAAGTGTCAGGGGCACATACGTTGGGTAGGCTTCCCAGATGAGAGTGTGAGGTGTCCCTTTGTTTGAGAAATAGCTCGATGTTCCTATTGTCCTGGTAAATAGGCTTAATCAATTGTGTATTGTGCTGTCTGCAGCTGCAGCTTGCCTGTCTGGGTCTGCAGCTTGTTCATTCAGTGTCTTTTATCTGGATATTTTGGCCAATGCTTGGCTCAATTTCCCAGCATGCTTCATTATCCAGTTCTGCCATTTTGAATGGCTCGTCCGGCTACAGCACAGATATAGGTTTGAAAGAATATCACCCTTATACAGGTGCTAGATTGGTCTTGCAACTGTTTTAGGACTGTTGTTATGTTTGTCCAGCAGATACTATCTGTTTATGACACTGCACTCTGGTGCTTTTGCTATTTTGGGTGGTGATGCCCCAGAGCTGCAACATTCCAGTTCAGTATGACAAGCAAAAAAAAGAGTCTAAGCATGATTTGTACACACAGTATGATGCAGATCTTTGTGATGTTTGTCATCACAATAAATCATAGGAAATTAAATCCTAAATAAGTAGGCATTTGCTGGTTTCAAGGCAAAAATGAATTAAAATTTATTAAATGTTTGTCTCTTTAGAATGGGTTTGCACAAATTACAAGCAATTTAGAGTAGTTACTATAAACCAGGAATAAAATTCAAAGCAGTTGTCCCATAATATACAATATAACTGGAAATCACGTAACTCCAATATCAGTCTAGGACACCTAATCTCAGTCCATAAACTAGTCTTTTCTATATTATGTTAAAGCACTGCTGCCTCACAGCGCCAGGGACCCGGGCTCGATTCCAGCCTCGGGCGACTGTCTGTGTGGAGTCTGCACATTCTCCCCGTGTCTGTGTGGGTTTCGTCCGGGTGCTCTGGTTTCCTCCCACAGTTCAAAGATGTGCAGGTTAAATACATTGGCCATGCTAAATTACCTGTAGTGTTCAGGGAAGTGTAGATTAGGTGGGTTATATGGGTCTGGGTGGGATGCTCTGAGGTTTGGTGTGGACTTATTGGGCCGAAGGTCCTGTTTCCACACTGTAGGGATTCCACGATTCTATGAAAATCTAAGTGGTTTTTTATTAGAACTTTTTTTAGCAAATTCGACAAAGCTATTTCTGTCAATTTGCTGTAATTGAATGGGTATTTTTTGGATAATTAAAATTGCTATATTTGAATTTATCTATGTTACCTCAAAAAACTACACATGTTCAATCATTCTAGATATGACAATAATGGGGAAGTTGTAAATCCTTTCAAAGATTTAAGTACATCATTCCCATGTTAGCGACATTTCCAGAATGGTCAATAGAGTGTACAGCTTGCTTTTTTATAAATTTATATTAACTGACTTTGTCACTAGATTTTCTTCAAAGTTGTTTATGCCCCAAAAGGTTCCTCACATACTGGAGACTAGTGCTAGCTTTTTTATTTGGGAAATTTCATATCACTGTGCAAATCTATTTGCCAAGATTGAAGAAACAAAGAAGGGAGGAAATTTTCATGATCCCTCCCACCCGTGACACACCACCTTGTAGGCTGTGGGTTGTTTAACAGGAAATCACAGCTGCGTTGTTCTTTTCTATACGTTGATTTAGTGCTACTAAAAAAAAGTACTGGGAATGCATACGAAAAACCAAACTGTGAAAATCAACACTTGAAGGAAAATGATAACTGTCACCTGTTCCAGCAAAATGTCATTTTTGAAATTAAGCTTGGTCATTGTTCATTATTGGGATGTGAAATGGAGATACCTTGTACTTCCATTTTTTTCAGATTTCGCACAGTCTAAAACTGTAATTTATATGCAACATGGACTTTTAAATTTCTGCCATATTTTATTCATTTGTTAACATATAAATCACGGAAATATGTGCTACAGAGTTACAGTTGTCCTAAAAATCCTCAATAAGTGATGGGAAACAATTGACAAGGAATATATAGAGCTAAATCAGAGGAATCCATTCATGTTATTAGCTAGAATCAGAAAACTAAAGTAGTTAAACATGACAAACATCAGTAGTGTGAAAGTAAGTTACTTCCTTAAGCTTATCTTCTGTTATTTGATCTTCTATGTCTTACATTCTGCAGTATAGGGTGCAGTTTAATTTATTTCCAGTGTTCCTTTTATATGAATTGATCACTGAGTACTGTTTAACTTCTAATTGTGGATAGGAGATGTAAAAATTCATTTGTCCACTAGTTCTTCCAAATTTTGCCTTTGCCTCAACAGATTATTAATAGTATAGTGTAAACTTTGAAATTTTACTACTAAAACCAACTAAAGTGTCAAATTTTCACTTCCAGCTGTAATAATACCATGATTTTGAGGATATTTTCCTTTACATTTTAGTCATTGCTTCTTCTTTTTGGAAGTTTTCTGATGTCACTGAAATATCAATGACAATAGATTAGGAAGCGGGGGTGGGGGGTGCGGAGGATGGTGTGACAAGACTTGGGTGTCCTTGTACACCAGTTGCTGAAAGTAAATGGGCAGGTGCAGAAGGCGATGAAAAGGCAAATGGTATGTTGTCCTTCGTGGTGAGAGAATTCATGTACAGGAGCAAAGATATCTTGCTGCAATTATATAGGGCCTTGGTGAGACCACACCTGGCGTTTTATGTGCAGTTTTGCTTGTTTCATCTGAGGAAGGATGATCTGGCAGTGGAGGAAATGCAACAAAGATTTACTAGACTGATTCCTGGGATGGCAGGACTGATTGGATTGGTTAGGATTATGTTCATTGGACTTTAAATGAATAACAGGGATCTCATAGAAACCTATGAAATTCTAACAGGATTAGACAGGACAAAAGTAGGAAGGTGTTCCCAATGACCAGGGAATCCAGAACCTAGGGTTACAGTTTAAGGATATGGGGTAAGCCGTTTAGGACTGAGAGAAGGGGAAATGTCTTCACCTAGTCAGCTGTGAGGCTGTGAAATTCTCCACCAAAGGAAGAACTTGAAGGCAAAACATTGAATGCTTTCAAGAATAAATTAGATATAGATCATAGGGCTGAATGGATCAAAGAGAATGGAGAAAAAGCAGGAACAGGGTACTGAGTTGGAATGATCATCCATGATCTATCCATATGGAATAGCAGAGCAGACTCCAAGGACTGATGGCATACCACTGCTCCTATTTTCTACCTTCTATGATCCTATCAAAGTAGCTTTAAGTAGAACAATACATGTCACCAAATATAATATTTGGAGGGTGTATTGATTTGTTAACAAATACTTTTGAATGACTTCATGTTAGATTATAGAGAAATTCTGAGTGTGTAGCTTAAAACCTCCAAAATTTTCACTGTCCAATCAACTATAGATTTCAATCCTGTCCTCAAACTAACACTTCAAAACATGGACAAATATGATACAATTATTTTAGTTGTGAAATGATAAAATAAGTCAAGGTCATTCTTAGTTTCAGTTAGGGTACAAATAAAGAAAAATTATACTGGGTGCTTTCCTATAATATGTAGTTTCTATACATACAGGTGCATAATAGAATTTATTGTGCATGCAATGATGGCTGGATTAAAGTTTATGATAAGATGTATTGCTATGTAGTCCAAATCAGTAAGACAATTATTAATAATTATTATTACTTACAAAGACTAATCATAAGAAATATAAGACAATACTTAAAATGACAAAGAAATTACAACAGGGAAACATACTTTTCAGCTCAATTAGTTTATTCTCCTAATGGACTCTGGACCCAATCTCATGCTCCCACATTGTTCCCATATCCCTTCATTCCCCTTTCTTTATGCCACTTACCAAATTTATTCTTAAGGAAAAGTAACATGGTGTCTGCCATGCCACTTCCATGAATCCCTTATTGGAAAGTTCTTCCAAACCCCACTGCTCTTATTAATCCTTCACCATTCTTCATTCTTCAATGCAGTTCTGACTGTAGGAGAGTAGAAAATCCTCTTGAATAAGTCCACAATAATTCTCT